GTACTCTTCACCTCTGAGGCAATGCTCCTCAACTGCTTCTTAGAATGGGCCTTGCTTTGTAGCCCAGGCTGGTCTTGAACTTGAGAGTTTCCTGCCTCAGCTTCTTCAGTGCTGGGATTCCGGGTGAGCACCACCACACTCAAGAATCTGATCTTGGCCCAAATAAGTAGTGGGCTCAAGAGAAGATGTCAGGTCCACCCCGTGTTTCTAAAACCGTGTCTGCTTGGTCTCTTCTTTTAAAATAATATTCTTTTCCTTACAGGTATACTCTGGAAATGATCAAATTAGTACCACACAATGAAAGTGCGTGGAACTACTTGAAAGGGTAAGAGGCTGTTTTTGCTGGTTTTTTGTAAGAGAACCACCAGGCTGCTATGAGCAACATCATGGAATGTCCTCCATAAGAATGCCAAGGAATTTCCTGGGTTGGTACATCTACTAGTAAGAGCAAAGCATGCTCACGGTCCCCTGGCATTGTGCCCTCTGCTTTCCCCTTTTCACCTCTGGGCACACATCAAGTTTTTAGAGCAGTACCCAGCAACGCTGATGTGTTGTAATAGTATTTATAACTCTGCTAGTGTTTTGCTGAAGCCTCTAGAGTTTATGTCACAGGATGGAATACACACTCTTGTATATTCCTGCAGGGCAGAATAAACTTGACAAGTTACTTACATGTGTGGCCAGTCTTTCTACTACCAGTGTCCAGTGACAAGTCTTACTCTTAAAATAAGAAGGTTTCCCAGGCCTGGCCCTTCACATGGCCAGAGAGCATGGCATGGCGCCCAGGTACACTTGGAGATGTGCCAGGACTTGTGACCCCTAAATAGCCAAAGGTTTGAAGAACCATCTCAAAAAGAAGTAGGGACATCTCTCCTGCTCTTTCCTTTCTTTTTAACTTTACGAAAGAGTTCTTTTCTATTTTAATTGTGTGTGTCAAGTAGTTTAAGTTATAAATGATTGCTTTAAATCTTTTAAAAATGATCTCATTTCTACCAGGCTGTTCTCAGACTGAGATTATAAAGTGAAGGCGACCTTGAAGTTCATGTTCTCTCCCTCCACTTTCCAAATGCTGAGATTGCAGGCATGCATCACCATGCCTCGATTATGTAGTGCTGGGATTGAGCTCAGGGCTGTGCATGCTAGGCAAGCCTCTGCCAACTGAACTCCCTCCCCAGTCCCGCTTCATTGGACTTTAAATGAATTTTACTCAACTTTAAATCGCCTTTGATAAGGCCCACATAGCTCACAATTCTTTCTTTTTGCAGCCTCATTTGTTCCTGACAAGTCTTCTTTTGTCTCAGGGCTTTCTTTCTTTTTTCCTATTTGTGTGTGCTCTCTCATCATGGAGTTTTGTTTTGTTTTAGGATTTTGCAGGATCGTGGTCTTTCCAGATACCCTAATCTTTTAAATCAATTGCTTGATTTACAACCAAGTCACAGTTCCCCTTACCTGATCGCCTTTCTTGTGGACATCTATGAAGACATGCTGGAAAACCAGTGTGACAACAAGGAGGACATTCTTAATAAAGCCTTAGAGGTGAGTGTACGCAACAGTGTCCTAGAATGGGCTTTGCCCGTTGCCGCTGCTCTTGGTGCCACTTTTTATATAGTTTCTTGGTTGTTCTGTTTGGGGCAGTACTGCGTTGGTAATGTAACCCTTGTGTGGTTTTTGCATGTGACCTGAATACGTTAAATTGCCATATGCCCTTGAGGTTGAGCTAAACATTTACTTGAATCATTTTTATTTTTCATTTTCAGTTATGTGAGATCCTAGCTAAAGAAAAGGACACTATAAGAAAGGAATATTGGAGATATATTGGAAGATCCCTTCAGAGTAAACACAGCCGAGAAAGTGACATGCCAACGAGTGTATAGCAGCGAGAGTGTGACGGAGTGGACGCTGCTTTCTCTCTAAGGGCCTCTAGCGCAGGAGTGTAAACCTAGAGCGACCATCCCTTGCCTGTGCGCTAAAGTTGTTGCCCAGGTGCTGTTTTTAACAAGAACTAAGTATGATACTCCTGTGTGCTGATGCTGTTCAGACTAGCTCTAAGAAATCAGTTCTTCTAAAGCAAGGTCACTGGAGGGGAGGGTCAAGTCTTCCCATAAAGGAACTGCTGCTTTTGTAGTCTGCCAACATTTAATCCAGCCCCGCAGAATCCGCTCCGCTCCTCCGGACAGGTGTGCGCGAGGCTGTGCGTGGTGATGGAGGTGAGCAGGGACTGCAGCTGCCGGACAGAGCTGCTGGGCCACACTCACGGTATCTTTCTTGCTGTCACTGTAACCAACTAATGCCAAAAGAAAGGGTTTATAATAAAATCACATGTATCTATAAACAATGCTGCAGTCTTTGTTTTTTCTTTTTTGCTTTTTTTTTTTTTTTTTTTTTTTTTTTTTTTTTTTTTTTTAGACAGGGTTTCATATCAGCTTAGACCCAACAAGGATCCTAGTGCTTTGGAGGCCGAGACAGGAGGATTGCTCTAAGTTTGAGGCCAGCCTGGGCTACATAGAGAGGTTCAGGCCAAATCAAAACATAGAGTGGCCCTCCCCCCCCTTTTTTTTTTGTTTTTTGTTTTGTTTTTCTTTTTCAAGATGGTTTCTCTGTGAAACAGTTCTGACTGTCCTGGAACTCACTTTGTAGACCAGGTTGGCCTCGAACTCACTGAGATCCGCCTGCCTCTGTCTTCCCAGTGCTGGAATTAAAGGCATGTGCTACCATGCCTGGTATGGCCCTCAAAAAAGGAAGAAAAATAACAAAAAAAAAAGAAAGAAAGAAAAATAACAAAAAAAAGAAACTGAGGAAGAAAATACTGCTATAAAATTTGTGATTGTGATGAGGGAAATGTGACCTTGTTAAAATGGAACTTGGTCCATTTTGCACTGTAAGCAATCTACTCAAGATAATTTAAACCATGGATTTATTCAGCATAGCCCACAGTCCCGGCCTCATCTAGAAGTCTTTCCCAAACCCATGCTATACAATAGCCACAGTTGCTGCTGCCGGAACCGGAACTGGGAAACGGCTGTGGGAGGAATGAGAAACCACAGAGCTGCGTGCCATCCCCAGGACTGTGCCACCTTGTACGGTGCACACCCGCCGTGTGACAACAAGCCTAAGGCTCAGTTAACACTTGAGTGGGAAGAACTCGCGTTCTAGGTAGAATGCACTTTGAAGGCTCTGAAAACACGCTTCCTCGATCGTGTCTCTGCCCTTGGCTGTACCTGCTGCAACGGCGTTGGAGCGGCTTGACTACAGGTTGTAGCCATAGAGGGTGTTCAGGGCTAGAACACCAACCAAACCACAGCTCAGTGCTGTGAAGAGCTTTCTCCACGTATACTGGGAAATAATGTTCCATACAGAAAATACATTGAATTGGTAATAACGTTGTATTTTCCTTACATTTTATACAGTATTTGTGATGTGTAGATCTTCCAAATCTCAAAATACGTTCTTTGCATTTTTCAGTAGCATCATTGTAAAAACAACAAAACACAGCCTAGATGTCAGTTGTGGTGGCTCGTGCCTTTACTGCCAGTATTTAGGAGGCAGAGGCAAGCAGATCTCTATGAGTTCAAGGCCAGCCTGGTCTCCATATTGAGTGCCAAGACAGCCAGGCCACATAGCAAGACTGTCCTGGCTCCCCCGACCAAAAAAAAAAAAAAAAAAAAGCCAGCCTAGAGAAATTCTAGACTGTATAAGTTTTTTATACAGTATAAGAAACTAGAACATATAAGAGCATTTATTCTCAGAAATTGCCATCAGTGGCCAACATTGTTTTGGGGCTGCTGGTCAGCAAAGCTATTTGGAACTGTGTAAGAGTCAGAATGGGCCAGGCAGCGGTAGGCGGTGGGGCTGAGAATTTCGGACATTTGCTCAGGCTGCTGTTCTGGGGCCCACCCTTGGCAACTACCGCTTTGCAAAGAGTGTAGATCACGAAGCAACCCTCTGAGATTCCCAGCCCCAGGCTCAGCCTTTTTGCTGCATCCTGGCTCTCACCAGCAGAACCAGAGGCTGGGTGAGAACGCCTGCGCTGCCGCGGGTGTCCGTGGTGCGGCGGGAGGCGGCCACCAGGGGGCCGCCTCGCGCTCGTCTCGGGCCGCTTCCGGCCGCGCAGGCGTTGTGGGCCGCGAGCCGGATTTGGTGGATATCAGGTAGGCCCCGGGGAATGGTGGAGCAGGCTGGGGCTCTGCGGGGCCTTTCCGAGCCTGGACCACCTCCCCAACCCAGCCCCAGGGTGGGATGACGCGGCTCTCCCGGGGCTCAGCTGGACCTTGCCTTGGAGCAGGTGGTGCCCTCCAGATGCTTACCGTGCACCCTTCGCCCCTCCGGGTGCTCATCGCGCACCCCACTCCCGGTGATCACCGTGCACCGCCCCACTCTGGGTGATCACCGTGCACTCCTCCGGTTTTTCACCGTACAGCCCCTACGTGTGCTCTCCGCGCACCCCCCTTTGGGTCTCTGTGCACTGGGCGAGGCCACTCAACTGTGTGAACGGAGACTGTCCTCGGTGCTCTCGCTTTCTTACCTCCTCCCTACCCACTTCTCTCCCCACTTCCCTCCTTCTCTATTAAAAAGCAGTATATAGACGTTTAGGAATTTTGACGTCCCCACTCTTTGCCTGTACTAACGAAATAATATCCAGATTATTTAAAATAATTATTGGAAAGTGAGGTGACACCAACATCTCGAATCATGTAAAATAGTCTGCATATTGGCAGTTCATTTAGTTGCCTTATTTATTTTGTCTAAGCAGCCCCTTCCAGTGACCACACTGGGTTCAAGTCTGCCTAACCCCTGAGCTTTGCAAGACCCTGAGGAAGAACGTGGATTTGAGGCAGCCCTTCCAAGTACATGGTGTCGATACTGGATGAGCGCCTTCACCTTTGAGTCCGTTCCCTTCTCTGGGAAATTAAGTACCTCAGAATTGTTTTGAGTTTGATATCGTGTGATACTGTGTGAGCAGTTGAGTTTAAGGATGATTACTGTTTTCCTAGGGAGAGTCAGAATGCGAGGATTATAGCTAAAAGGCACAAAATACAGTCCATAAATGCCGTAAGGGCTTGCCAACTAATGAGGGCCATATTTTCATTTGAAAATATGAATTCTAAGGCCTGGAGAGATTGCTCAGTGGTTAAGAGCACTTGTTTTTGCAGAGGACCCAGGTTCAATTCCCTAATAGCTTACTGCTGCCCTGCCACAAGTCTCTTGTAAAATCCAGGAAAGGGGCTGACAATTTTATGCTCCAAAATCTGTGCACTGGAAAGGGTGTGTGCCTGTGTGTGTGTTTCACACATGTCATGGCATGCATGCGGAGGACAGGGTACAACATGGATGCTGGTCTTGGCCCTCTCCCTTTCTGAGCCAGAATCACTCTGTGGTGTGCCATGGGTCAGGCTGGCTGGCCCAGAGGCGTCCACGGATTCTGTTCACCCATTCACCACAGGACCAATGGGATCACAGGTGTGTCTGGCTTTCTCTTGGGTTCTGGGGATTTCAGCTTGGATCCTGGGGATTTCAGCTTGGGTCTGCACACCTTACCCACTGAGCCATCTGCCCAGTCTGTGTGTGTTCTTTTCTTAGGGAGCCCCCTTTCCTTCCTAAAACTATAAGCTCTAGGCGCCATGAAACTTGCATTCACCCAATAGAAAGGTTGGATGAGGGGGAGGTTGGGGCGAAAAAGATTTAACACTCGGAAGATGTAATGGTGGTGCTGGTGAAAATGGATGAGAGAAGAAACGGCCGATGGGAGGCGCTAGAGGGCAGGTCCCACAGAGAACCGAAGAACAGATTCCTGGGCTTGCAGAAACACAGGAAGACAGCAATGCTTGCCAGATGCCCATGAACACAGAGAAGTGCGGTGTGACTGTCCATTCAGTGTGCCTTGGTCCCTGCTCTGTGCCAGGCACTGCAGGTGGTAGGGAACCAAACAGAAAAGGTGACAAACATCTCGGAGCACAATCTAAGGGTCCACAGATCTCCTAAAGGGTTTCTTTGGGCACCAAGGAATGTTTGGGGGCTGGAGTGAGGAACATTGGGGGACTCTGTAGTTTACTTTCCTGGGGTTTACCTTCCCCTTGGTGCAGGAGTCAGACGCAGGGCATTGTCTTGGCATGTGCTAAGCATTGACTCTCTCACAATCTACATCCCTGGCCACTCAAGACTCATCTCAGAATTTAGACGTGTTCCTCAAGGCATTGTGGGACTATTGAATGTTTGTATTCTGGGCAGGATTTTATCTGTCATTGGGAAGGATCACCCTCTATGTCAAGCAGGAATTCTTCCACGTACACGTAGGGAAATACGTATAAATTTTGTTTCACACCAGGCTGGTTGAGAATGCCTATAATTCAGCCCATGGGAGACTTGGACAAGAAGATGGTCTGGTTAGTTTGTCTACACAATGAGACTGTCTGAAGCAGGGGGAGTTATTTCACTGATGATGCTCTCGTCGACTGAGTAACAAAGCAGAGTGGATGAATCTCTAAAGCATACTGCGATGGGCTGGCGAGCTGGCTTCGTTGCGATGGGGGCTTGCGGAGTTCAACACTCAGGATCCATAGTGGAAGGAGGGACCTAATTCCTGTACGTTGTGCCCTGACCTCCTTCATGCATGCCTTGCCAGGTGTCCTCCCCTCATGGACAAAAAGATAAAATGTAAGAAATTAAAACAACAAGATCAATCTGAACTTCAAAGCCGTTAGCTGCAGAGTGGCTCTCCGGTATACCAGAAGTGATACAGTGCCTGAGAAGCTGCTTATGGGCGGGGACTTGTGACCACGGAGGACACTGTTTAACTGTGTCCACCAGAAGGCCTCGGGTTTTAGCATTCATCCAGATCACCTGGAGAACTTTAAAAGTGGATTTTGTTTCTGATCTGAAGTGAGCGCCTAGGAAATGACTTTTCTTCCCAAGTCCCCAGGTCCCCAGCTGGAGAATCCCAGAGAATAACCGTGAGCCTAGTGGCGGCTGGGGACTGAGAGGGCATCGAAGGTGCTCCAGTTCTATATGTAATATTTCAGGTCAGGCGTGGTGGAGGATCACATGCTGTGCAAGACCCCAGTATACCACCACTCCCCCAAAATGTTATTTTTTTTAAAAAAATTGGAATATATTAGGACAACTGTAAATTGACAAAACACTGAATAGATGGTCTTAATCTTATGTTTTCTTTAGGAACATTTCATTAAAGAAGGAAGATCCCATCTGCTGTGTGGAGAATGGATGGGAAGAGAGAAAGATCATGCAGGAATCAGCTGTAGGAGCGCAGGTAAGAGGCGCTGGCGGCTTGTGCCAGGGCGGAGTCAGGAACGGACGGTTCATAGGGCTTGGCTGATTCTGAGGTCAGGGGACGGAGGAACTGAGTCACCCTGGTTTGTGATATGAGTGATGATAGGCTGTGTCTCCACAACAGAGTGGGAGCCCCGAAGAGGAGCTGTGCTGGGGAAAAGGGGGGGAGGACAACAAGGTCAGCGGTGGACACAGCCCACAGAGCGTTGGGAGACGGATCTAGGCTGCAGTGTAGATGTAGGGATTGCAAGCAGCTTGAGAGCTACCAGAGACCCTGCATGAGGGGAGATTAGCTCGGCCTGCAGCGCCCTTAAAGGAATGCTATCATCTGCTGCCAGGCTTGGCCAGCTACAATCCACTGCCTGAGCCCTGAGCTAAGCAAGCACTTTACCAGTGAGCTGTAGTCCCGGCCATTTTTATCCTGGTAAATGTTGGGTAAGAGATATTTGTTGAGAAAGCACAGGTTTGTTTTTTATACGCCGTAGGGGCTGCTCTATGTACTCTGGCAACAGGGCTGAGTGGCACAGGCAGAGACGATGCACGACGTCATTCCACCCCTCTGCACCTCACATCCGTGATGCGGTTATCACTCGATTTTGACATTGACTCCTAGAGAAAAAGCAGTTGCAACCCTCTGTCCTAAGGTCTAAGTTGAGACACAGCTGGTCCCTCTAAAGATTATGAAGAAAGATGAGCTGGAGAGATGGCTCCGTCGGTAGAGGTGCTGGTCATGCAAGCCTATTGCATCCCCAGGACCCACTTAAAGAGGGAAGAGAGAATCAGCTCCACTGAGTTATCCCCTGACCTCTGCATGCGGGCTGTGGCATGTGCTCATCCATGCCCACACGTACACACAATGATAATTAACATAAAGTTTTTTCTTTTCTTTTTTTTTAATATTTATTTATTTATTATGTATACAGCATTCCTTCCATGTATGCCTGCAGGCTAGAAGAGGGCACCAGACCTCATTACAGATGGTTGTGAGCCACCATATGGTTGCTGGGAATTGAACTCAGGACCTTTGGAAGAGCAGGCAGTGCTCTTACCCTCTGAGCCATCTTTCCAGCCCCCATAAAGTTGTTTTTTTTTTTAAAAAAAAGTATGATGAAAGAGATAATGCAACAGATGCAACAGCCTGGGTAGAAACAGCCGCCGCAGCTCTGTTCAGTCTCTGAAGATGAGCCGAGGGAGAGGCCTGAGGTCGAGATGAGGAAAGACGAACAAATGAATCTGAACACTGCTGGAGCTGGCCGGGGAGACCCCAGAGTGTGGGGTGATGGCCTCCAGGTGGTCTGTGAATGAAACCAGAGTGATTGCAGAGTCGGGGTTTCTTGAACACAACCAGGTGATAGCAGGAATGAATATCAGTGTTGAATTCTGTTGTCTAAGCGAAGCTACTGAACTGTCAGTTCTTACGTTTCGGGGTTAGAAGTAGTCGCGTTGCTGTGACAGTCCTTCACCTGTGTCCTCATTGGCTTAGAAACAGGAAGGAGAAGTTCCATATTTGCTGACAGGAACTGTGAAAAAGGAATAGATTTGGGGGATAAGACAAGTTTATTCTTTGAAGTTGAGATATATTTCTTTTTATTTTGTCTGCGTGTGACTGCAGTATTCACACAGGCCAGAAGACACCGTCTGATCTCTTGGGATGGAGTTAGGGAGGCTGTGAGCTGCCATGTGGTACCAAGCACAACTCTGAGCGACCCAGGCATGTGGATGGAGACTCAGCTGAGAGAAGGAAGAGACTCCTGAAGGTAGCCCTGTCAAGATTGACTCTGGGTCCCCATGTCTCCCAGTCTAATGGTCACTTTGGAACACTTCTGTCCAGCACTTTGAGGGACAAGCATCCTTTGCTCAAGGGTCCATCCCAGGTCTGTCCCCTGCCAGGTCCCTTTGCCATGGCCTTGCAGTGGTCTCTGTTCTGGATTTTTTGGGTCCCTGCTACCTGTGTCTCCTAAGTCATCTCTTCGGAAAATCTTAGACAATTAGAATTAAACCATTATTCTCCAAGTTTGTCAACTCTTATCCCGGATTATCATCAGGGCCTAATTTCTGCACCTCCATCTCCCCACCCCAAAGCTACCTGTGCACCCACTGAAAAGTTAGCCTTGCTTCTTCACTGGGGTATCACTCAGGGATAGGGTGCTGAGCTGGCTTAACCGAGGCCCTGTGTTCAATCCCCCAGGCCACAAAACAAGCCTAAATATTTTGTTGTTGCTGTGTTAGGGTTCAAGCCCGGGGTCTTGCACATGCTGGACGCTCCCTGAGCTGTATCACCAGAACACCCTAACCTTGTCTGATTCCTACGATAACTAAGCCTCTTTATCTGCCTTCTATCCCAGTCCCACAATGCACACCTACACTCAGGCCATCCACCTAGTGCAAGCTCCTGTGGGAGAACAGGACCAGACGTGGCCTGGATGAGCCCGCATTTTAGCTTGTAACGAAGACTAGTGTTCATCAGGGCAGCTCACAGTTCGTTTACGCCTTCAAGTGATGCTGATCCTGACCCAACCCACGAGTGACGGTGACCACCTTCAGCCCACCAGTGGCATCAGAACACTCCCGTGGAAATCAGCGTGGACGACGATTCTTCTCCCTGTCTCATGTTCTGTTGTAGGAGCTGGCATGGGACAGCAACATGGAAACAGGAAAGGTCTCACCCACAGGGAAGTCCCCCGGGGCGTTGGGCTGTTGCTCTCCTTGGCCCTTATGAATGCCGCCCTTTACCTCTGTCTCGACTGGTTTTTCATTTCCCCTCGACCTCCGGAGGACCCGAGTCGCTGTCCTCATGGTTACTTTAGGATGGGACGGATGAAAAACTGTTCGCGCTGGTTGTCCTGTGAGGAGCTGAGGACAGAAGTGAGGCAGCTGAGGCGCGTTGGAGAAGGAGCCGTGAAGAGAGTGAGTGTTCATGCCCGCGTTGTCCTCACTGCTAGCTCTGGGAGAGCAATTGTTTGGCACCAGGTGCCATGACGCTTGCTGCACCTGGGAGTCCAAGGCAAAAAGATTGTCTGGGACTGGGCTATGGTGACGCATGCCTCTGATCTCAGCAGAGGCAGGCAGATCTCTGAGTTTGCGGCCAGCCTGGTCTACAAGAGCTGGTTCCTGGAGAGCTACAGAGAGAAACCCTGTCTCAAAAAAACCAACAAAATAAGAAGATTGCTTGGGGTGGGGACTTTCAGGCTAACCCGGGCAACATTGTGGAATACGGGCTTATAAACAAACAAAGAAAAAAGAGCCTTGACGACCTTGTGTTTCTGTCCTTGAGCCCAGGAGTCTGTGATCAGGAACTCGGGCGGGTGTAGTGAAAGCAGCTGGAGAGGGAGGCAGGTGTGAAAGAGTACTAAAGGATGGGAGACAGGAAGGCTTTCGGGAGATGGGGCATAGCTCAGCTGGGGAATGCTGTTTCAAGGCCATCGTGGCTCTTGAGACAAGGTGTCCCTACCACAGGTTGGCCTTGAATTCTCTGGAGAGACAGTTGTCTGAACTAACGTAGCAATGCTGAAGCTGAGGAAGTGTCTCTCTGTGTCTCTAGATGTCATCTGTATCTAGCCCTAGCCTAATTCTGTTGCCTTTGCATATTTAATAAACTCCCAGATGGTTCTCTCAAGGCCTGTCTCTCCCCAACTCCCAGAACTGTGCAGCCAACCGCTTATTTGTCAGCTCCACTTGGAGTTCTCTGAGCACGTCAGAACGTCCTGGGTGGAACTCTTGTTCCTTCCGAATGGAGTCTTACTGTATAGCCTTCAAATTCATGATCCTCCTGCCTCAGCCTCTTGAGTTTAGGGATTACCCGTACGTGTCACTACAGCTGGCTTGGTGTGGAACGGTTGATCATCTCTTCTGTGGGCCTGCTGTTCCCCCCTTTGTAGATGGCACCACTTTCCACCCAGGTCCTTGGGCCATACACCTGGGGATCATCTTGGGTCCTTCCGCCCCTTCTGTCAACCAGGAGCAGGCTGCGCTCTTCCACACTGCGGTCCATGGCGACTCTCGGGTTCTGGGTAGCCTTTGAAAGAGTCCGTGGTCTCCGCCTTGGCCCCGCTCTTACCTTCTTCCTTCCTTCCCCACCCCAGTTACATGTTCACCCTGCTGAGTGCCGTGTGTCTGTCTTCACAGCTCTGGGATGGCAGAGACGGGACCGTATCTGGTTTGTTTCCGCGTCCTCTGCACCACGCCTGCCTCCTAGGAGGTGTTTGTTCCTTGGCGTGCTTTGGTGGAAGCCTGGGTCTGACGTTCTCCTTGGCCCCGTTTCAGGTCTTTCTGTCCGAGTGGAATGAGCACAAAGTTGCTCTCTCACGGCTCACCAGGCTGGAGATGAAGGACGACTTCCTCCACGGACTGCAGATGCTGAAGTCTCTGCAGAGCCCGCACGTGGTCACGTTGGTTGGCTACTGCGAGGAGGACGGCACTATTCTCACCGAGTATCACCCCTTGGGTTCCCTGAGCAACCTGGAAGAAACACTAAACCTTTCGAAGTACCAAGATGTGAACACCTGGCAGCACCGGCTGCAGCTGGCCGTGGAGTATGTCGCCATCATCAACTACCTGCACCAGAGTCCCCTGGGCGTGAGGGTCATGTGTGACTCTAACGACCTGCCCAAAACGCTGTCTCAGTACCTGCTGACAAGCAACTTCAGCATTGTGGCCAATGACCTGGATGCGCTGCCCCTGGTGGACCATGCCTCCGGGGTCCGGGTGAAGTGTGGCCACAGGGAACTCCACGGGGATTTTGTGGCTCCGGAGCAGCTGTGGCCTTATGGGGGAGACACGCCCTTCCGAGATGACCTCATGCCCTCCTATGATGAGAAGATTGACATCTGGAAGATTCCGGATGTCTCCAGTTTCCTTCTGGGGCACGTGGAAGGCAGTGATATGGTTCGATTCCACTTGTTTGATATCCATAAGGCATGTAAGAGCCAGATCCCCGCAGAAAGACCCACGGCTCAGGATGTTCTGGACACTTATCAGAAGGTTTTACATTCGCTCAGAGAGTCTGTGATGTCTCAGACAAAGGAGATGCTGTAAGGTCAGGCCGTTAAATGATGGACTTAACAGCTGAATGGCATCCCAGCTGTTCTACTCTTGGTGATGGAAGTGCTTTCGTGAACCTCGTGATTTGTGGATGCAGGGTCTCCTCCACATCTGCCTGCACATCTGAGTGTGCTCTGCTTTCCCAGCAACCCAGATGGAAGTAGCCAAGTGGGAAAACCTTGCTTTACTGTGCTTCCTGGTGAAGATGCAGAGAATTCATGGATCCACACAGTGTTTGAAGGAAGTGGTAAAACGGTAATCATGAAGACACATCGCCTACTCCGGTAACCATGTTTATAGATTGGTAGGAAATGGGAAAAAACATACACTAATTCTTCAGAGAACATTGTTCCTAATTTGAGCAGTCCTGTTGGAAGCTGGGGATATAGTGCCCAGTGGTCGGGTGTTTACCTGGTTCTTTGCAAAGCCTCGGATATGATCCGTAGCATACGCACACGCGTGCGCGCGCGCACGCACACACACACACACACACACACACACACACACACTCACACTCAAAGACCGTTTTGGGTGTCCAAAGCGCAGCCCTCATCAGTGAGGCCCTTGTCAGTGTTAGAGATGACCGTCTGTGAAGGTTCCATGCAGTTTCCTCTCACTGAGCCAAGTACGCTGTGGCAGCATGCTCTGGAGAGAGACGGTGAATGGCTAGGACTGACTGCTGGGAACGGCAGGCTGCGGGAACTTCCTTACCTGCCTGGGATGGTGCTGACCTGCGGTTTCTGGGTGAACATTTCATATCCAATGTTCCTCTTTACTAGACAGTGTCGAGCCTCCCCGGGCCTGCACAACTGAACACCTTAAACAAAAACTGTGGCGCCAGGAATGGTGGTGCACACCTGTAATCCTAGCGCCTGGGAAACAGATTGGAGAAACTAAGAGTTCAGGCCTGTTATGGGCTATATACCATGATCCTGTCTGTCCACGCCCCCACCCCAATAAAAAAAAATCTCTCCTGTGGTGCTGGCATCCTTATTTTGGGAGACATGAGAGAGTCGGTGTGTCTTCGTGGCCACTCACGAGGTGTCCCCTGAACCTGAGCAGGCGACAGATTCACCTGGAGTCACAGATCGGGGCCCACCTTGGAGTGTCTAGCTTCACAGGGCTACAGGGAAGTCCAAGGGTTTTCATTGTAACTGGTTCACCATGCTGCTGCCCCTGGTGTTTCCCTCCTCCTACAGGGACCACCGTTCAAGGTTCCTGTCCCCCTTGAGAGGAAGGTACCATAGGCCAAAGAAGTAGGCAGCATCGGATCTGATTGTCTTCTGTAGCCTGTGGCTGACAAGGGGGTGAGCTTGCCCAGGTTTATCTCTGTGAAGCACACAGGTGCTCCATTCACTTCGGGTTTGTTTTACAAAATCTCCACCAAGCCAAATGGTAGTGGTGCACGCCTTTAATCCCAGAACTCGGGAGGCAGAGGCAGGTGGATCTCTTGTGAGTTCCAGGACAGACTCCAAAGCTGCAGAGAAACCCTGTCTCAAAAAACATAAAAAACAAACCAACAAACAAAAAACTCCACCCAAACCCACTGGCTTAAAGATATTAACAAGTACTGGCCAGGATGTGGCGTGATTAGACCCCTTACTATCCTGCTAGTGGGAACATAACGGTGCAAAAGCGTATTGGGGAAACAGTCAGGCGGTTAGTTCCCACTTTACTGTGCTCAGGGGCAGCTTATAGAGGGCTCTGGCCACGCCCCACCTCACAGGATCCTTCAGCTGCAGACTCATCAGAACCCACTCCCCTGCCATCAGGGTCTCGTGCTCAGAACAGCTGCAGGCTGCTCAGAGCAGAGGAAAACAAACAAGTTGTTTACAAGAAATTCAGGATCTGGTGGTCTGCAGTCCCCAACAACAGTCCTGAAGAAAAAGTGCTACTACAGATGGTGCCCAATGTGGGTGTCGTATGAGGTGGGACTTTCCTTTGGACTGCCTAGCACAAATAATGACATACAAACAAACACTTTTTTTTGTTTTGTTTTGTTTGGTTTGGTTTTTCGAGACAGCGTTTCTCTGTAGCTTTGGAGCCTGTCCTGGAACTAGCTCTTGTAGACCAGGCTGGCCTCAAACTCACAAAGATCCACCTGCCTCTGCCTCCCGAGTGCTGGAATTAAAGGCGTGCACCACCACCACCTGGCTCATGCTGTATATTTTTAAAAGGTTCTAAAACTCTGGGGTAGTGGATTAAGTAGCACAAGTAATAAAAACCCAGAGGCAGATTTTGGGCTTCAACCTGAAGATCAGAAAAGCAAAGCAGCCAAGCCATTAGAGAGTTCTTACAGCTATGAAATCTTCATATCAAAAGAGAGTGAGTTCCTGTCTCATCCCGTCTTATATTCCTCTCTAGTGCTAGGATTAGAGGTGTGCTCCACCACCACCCAACCTCTGTGGCTAACTAGTGTGGCTACTGGGATTAAAGGTGTGTGCCACCACTGCCTGGCCTATATGACTGACTAGTGTGACTGCTTTGCATTCTGATCTTCAGGCAATTTATTAAAATACAATGAAATATCAAAATGAGTATATATGATTTTGTTTTTAAAGACACAGATGACAAGAATAGGAACTTACAAAGAAGGAAGCATGGAGCCATTCTTTACTTCTATATAACAAGGCAAAAGTGTCAGTTTTGTGTGCACATACTTGAATGCAATTATGTTTTCTAAGGTAAGTTTTTATTTTCCTCTGTTACCTAATTTTTCCATGTAAGTTTTATTGAAGACATCTAGCCATCCCTACTCTATTGAGATAGTAATTATTAATTCAATGGATTTGTCAAAATTCCTTACTGATTTGTTTGGGATTTTTCTTTTCAATATTTTAATTTTTTGGATTTAAAAGTGCTTACCTGCAATTAAGTGTGTGCATGCACGCAGTGACCAGGAAGATGAGAAAAGGGAATCTGATCCCTGGACTGGAGTTCCAGCCGCTATGAAGGGTCATGTGAAGGCTTCCTACAGTCCCTAACTGGGGAACCACCTACTGAGCTCTGTTTAGCTCACCTCCCTTCCTTCCACACTAGAGGTTGAGGGTTCTGCTCTATCTATCTGGGTAGAGCTTGTGGGTACTAAGCTGCTATCTGCCAGGGCTGCTATCACCTCCCCTTTAATTTCCCCCAGCATTTGGCAGCGTCAAGGGGCAGCAGGGGGCAGCCATAAGCAGTAGTGCCATCCTGTGTTACAGCCTTGGGCTAACAGCACCCTTAATCCTACAACCAGTCCAGTCCCCTCCAGTAGCATGGGTTAGAGCTCTCAGCTTAGGGTCTGGAGCTCCTGGCCCTGCAAACCTGAATGCTCTCTCTTTTTTTCCATGTCCAGGAACTTCTCTCGCTTCTTAAAACTTTTTTTATGTTTTGTTTTTTGTTGTTGTTGTCGTTTGTGTAATGGCCTGACCATCCTGGAACTCACTCTGTAGACCAGGCTGACCTCGAACTCACAGAGATCCTCCCCCCACCTCTGCCTCCCAAACGCTGAGATTAAAGGTGTGCGCCAACATGCCTGGCTAAAATGTGATTCTTTTAATGCAATTGCACGTTTAATGCAACTTTGCATAGTTGGATTTTTAAATGAGTCCATCTGAGAAATTAAATAAATGTAATTGCAAAGCTAAGCGGAGCCTGTTTCCCTTCATCTTATTTAAGACTCTCGCAAGTGGCTGTGTGAAGAAAGGCTAAGCATTTCCTCTAGCTGCATAGTGCGATTTTGCTATTAGAAGCAATTGTGTTACAAATTGTGCCCGTCCTTTTTCACCTGTGACGGTTTCCCTGGGAATACAGACAGCGGTGTGGATCTGCAGGGTCGTCATCCCTGCGCACCTTTAACGTCCACAGAAGATTGGTAGCAGCCTCTTCACCGTGCCAGAAACAGAAGACCGTTTAGGGGATGTATCCTTCCCTCTATGTAGTGAATGCCTAGAGCGTGTGAGAGGGAAGCTCTTCAGTCTTGTTCATTACGCAGGAATCTTCTACATGGACAGGGGCTCGTTAAAAGGCTAGGGTGTAAGAATTTAGAATGTCGGTCAGGAAAGTGGTGAGGGTGAATAACTGCGGAAGCAAAGACCACTCTTCTGGATGTTTCTCTCCACTGGAAAACACTGTGCAGAGGGTAGAAAACAATCAGGACGCACTCTGCGGTGCTAGGTCTAGGCACACACTTTCCCACGGGGCGGGGCGGGGCTTAGGGAGGCAGGAGGCGGGGTCTGTGGCGGCGCAGCCCCGCCTTCCCGAGCGGGACAGCCGCGGTGACGCCATGGAGCGGGCGCTGACGGGCCGGTCGAGCTCGCGCAGGCGCCGGGCGAAGGAGCGCGGCTCGGCAGCGGTGACAGAGGAGCGCAGCTCCCCGAGGGAGGCGACAGGCGGCATGGGCGCGGGCCCGGCGCTGGTCGCGCTGCTGCTGGCCGGCTCGGTGCTCAGCGCCACGCTGCTCGCCCCCGGCCGCCGGGCGGAGCCAGGTGAGCGGCCGTGCGGGCTGGGGGGGGACCGTGCGTGGGCCTGCCCGGGACGACCCCGGGGCACAGGACCTGAGCAAGGCGCCGGGTCCACTCTGGGGTGGGCTGCAGCGGGAGCTTCAACCCGGGAGCCCGGGCCGGCCTGGTTTCCCAGGTTCAGTTCGCGGGCGCCCGGGTTGGGTGTTCAGTCCGGCTTCCGAGTTCACCAGGGGAAGGGGTGGGGGGAAAAAAGGAATTCTGGGAGTTCCCTCGACCCCAAGGTTCCAGGGTCCTGCAACACCGTTCCACAAACTCCTGTCGAAGCTAGTTTGGCTCAGGGACTGAGGCAGGTGTACAAACCCCCTTTGCGCATTGTATAAGGTAGGGCCTATCATCCTGCGCGGTGTGTCGCCTGCCTCTTTCCCACCGTCCACCCCCTTTTCCGGCTCAGAACTTGGATGTGGCTTCTGTGAGAAACACACTCCTCCTCCTTCCAAACTTTAAAAACACATTGAAGTAATGCAAAGAAGTACAAAGAAAGGTGTAAGAATTCAGGGTTTTAGGCTTGTCGTTGGGAGGAGCGATTTTTAAAAAATCATGCTGAGTTTGGAGTCTGGTCAGGGTGTTTGAACTTGTTGTTGCTGTTCTTTTTGAAGCTTCCCAGGCAGTTCTGATGTTCAGCTAGGCCTGAGGGATTCTGTATAGTCCTGACTACCATAGTATCAATGGCAAGAACTTTGCAAGTCTAGAATCCACAAGGGAAATCGAAGCACCACTCAGGACGAAGAAAAAGAAGTATAGTCGTTCCAACCATCAAGGGATGCTGAAATGATAGAGAAAAGATGAACAGGTGCACAGGGGATTACACTAAACTCGAAAAGGAAGATCGTCAAATATGGTGTGTAGAGATGTCTCCAGGTGAACTAACTGGCAGTTCTTCCACGACCCAGGTTCGATTCCCAGCATCCATATGACAGCTCACAGCCATATATGACTCAAGTTTTCAGGATTCTGATGCTGTTTTCTGGCTTTTTTGGGGCACCAGGTACTCGTGTGGTATATATACATGCATGCATGCAAGGCATCCAAACGCACTTCAAGAAGTTATCAGGAAAAAATGAAAAAAAAAAAAAAAAATGACAAAGATAAAACAAGCAAGCAAACCCAAGGCTACCTGTGTTTAGGAGAGGGATTAAATAAGTATTCCAGCCAATCATAGGCTAGGAAAACAGTCATGCAGCCAATCACAGGATAGGAACACAGTCATGCAGCCAATCAAAGGATAGGAACACAGTCATGCAGCCAATCACAGGTTCAAAGCTCTGTTTTCTATTTATCAGCTGGAAAGTGAGGGAGAAATCCAAAGGCCGATTGAGAACAGAGATGGCCGAGCAGATACACTTCCTCCCCGGAAGTGTGGTAACCTAGGCCTTAGCTGACTGACCTCCACTTAGACCTGCCAGCTAGCAAGCAGCTCGTGACCTTCAGCCAGTTGGTTGATTTACCTAGGTCTCACAGTGGTGCCTCCCTGGAGCCCCAGCTCTTTGGGAGACTGAAGCAGAAGGATCCCTGAAGCCGACAGTTCAAGGCCAACCACGGCAATGCAGAGAAACCCCACCTGGGGGTATAGGGGAGGAGGACACTAATATCTAAGACTTTTGGGATGTGGCACAAGTGAGAGAGTCACTGCCGGCCCCACTTAAATAGGACTGGAATTGCACAGTCTGCAAAAGACTATTTTGGAGGGGAAACCTCACTCATGAAAGTTCATTCTCTGGGTACTTTGTTTAAAGAATAACACACAAGGCTCAGAATGTCCCAGCACTGAAGTGTGTTGTCAAACCTGACTGCTCGAGTGGGGTCCCTGCCCTGAAGCCTACATGGTGAGGGGAGGAGCCACCCCAGTCCCTAAATGATTACCATCTTTGTGCCCACCTAGCACGCCGTGACCTGGACCCCTTGTCGAATGTGAAAGCAGAGAGTTTCCGCCCTTCAGATCTGGAGATTCAGAGTCCCCCACCAGAATGAGGAGGTAGAAGAGGTCTAGAATATTAGGAGTCAGAACCTCCCAGGAGCCTTGCCCACCTGCTTATGTGAGCTGGGAGGGAGGGCTGCGCCTGCATTTACCTGCATTTACCTGTTTCTTTTACTGCTCCTGTCAGTGTAAGTGGGACTTCGTTACATTATTGGGGTCCCAAGAATGGAGGCCTGGCAGCTGCCCTTGGCTTTGCTTGGCCTTGGGTTGGAGGCTGAAGGAGAGGCAACAGCACACAGCTGTTGCAGGTAGGAGTAGCACTTGGGGCCGGTCTTCTCATCAGTTTTGCTTCTGGGAGAGCCGGCTGATGCCTCCATGGAAGTGCAGCAGTCGGTGCAGGCTGGACTGTTTCTAGACTGCGTGGGCCAAGAGTGTGAGGTCACGCTCCGGCTGCCGTTGCTGCGTATCGAGACCCGGTGGTCAGGTTGGGCGCCATGACTGGATCTTGGCCGTGATAGTCTCAGTGAGGTCACTGGGCTGGACATGGAGGGTGATGGTCTTGCCTGCCATTGTTTTCATACACATCTGTATCTTGGTGTCTCCTCATGTAATGTTTATATGTATGGGTGTCTTGTCTGTGTATATGTCTCTGCACCATGTGCATGCCTGGTACTTGCAGAGGCCAGAAGAGGGTGTCGGATATCCTGAAACTGCAGTTACGGATGGTTGTGTATTGCCATATGGGTGTTGGGAGTCCAACTTGTGTCCTCTGGAAGAGCAGCTAGTGCTCTTAATGGCTGAGCCACCTCTCCAGCCTTTGATGTCCCTTGTTGCCTCCTCGGAGAGGTAGAGCTGCAGTCTGCATTTGTAACAATTTGCGGAGGCTGAGCTCATAACTAATGTGGTAAAGTCTAGACGTGGGAATAATAGACTCTTGGTTCAGATTAGTGATTTCATTGGAGAGCTGTGGCCCTGGGCAGGGGCAAAAGCTGTGAGCTTTGTTCTTCTGCAAAACAGAAAAGAGCCTAGCTCATGACCTCCGTATTATTCAGTGAGTGTTACCTCCTCAGACAGTCCTCACACCCTGGATGGGAATGGTGCTGACGGGACCTCAGTTGTAGCTGAACCATCTGTGCAAAGGGCCTCTGCGTGTGGCATTGCACACAGGTCACGGGGCACTGGGCTGAAGACCGCACATGCTCCAGCCTGTAGGTATTTGTGAAGCACGGATGCTGTGCTCTTTTGTGTCTCCCTCTGGTGCTCTGGGTTTTTGGTTCTTTTGTTTTGTAACTTTTCTTTCCGATCCTTGTCAGATGTAGATGAGAAGAGGCCTGTGGAGCTGAAGATGGATCAGGCTCTACTTCTCATCCACAATGAACTGTCGGGAACAAGCCTAACGGTCTACTGGAAATCTGAGTCCTGTTACCAAGTGCGTATTGTCTGCATCCTCTCCATTCGCTTCAGGCCTTGTGTGGTACACCCTTCCAGCGTTCTGATGTCTAAGCCCTTTTCTTGTTCCCTTCAGATTTACAGGCAAGGAAACAAAAATAGTTTATAGTAAAGAACTAGATGGAATATGATCAAGGGAGAATGTTTGGCAGTGATTCATGTGCCCTGCTGCCAACACCACCACTGGCTAAGACGATTCTTATCCAGTAATTTCGCTTTTGGAAATTTACATTAAGGAAAGAATTTAAAGGAGTAAGAACCTCATGGGTAGATTTTTTTTTTTTTTTGGTTTTTCGAGACAGGGTTTTTCTGGTTTTGGAGCCTGTCCTGGAACTAGCTCTTGTAGATCAGGCTGGTCTTGAACTCACAGAGATCTGCCTGCCTCTGCCTCCCAAGTGCTGGGATTAAAGGCTTGCGCCACCACCGCCCGGCATGGGTAGATATTTTAAAACAATAAATTTATATGACAAAAATGTAAAGCTACAGTAGAAAATCCTGGAAGACATAAATATCCATGGTTCTTATAGTTGGTGACATATGTGCAGTAAATAGAAATATGTAAAATAGGATCCTGTAAATTGGTTAAATAATATTGAAACAATAGAATGCAAGATTTAAAGTAGGCCGTATTTATTAACTTTTGAAAAGATTACCTATACATAAAGATTGTTCAATTCCATCATGGCAGTCATTATTTTAATATAAAATGGGCAAATTTTATCTGCATTACTGCAGTTTAAGTTTTTAAAGTACAAGGAAG